TTTCCATTTGAATTTAATGCTATAGTTGTTGCTGAAAATCAATGTCGGGTTTTTTAAAAAAAAAAAGTCGTGAAATTTGGAGCAGAGGGATATTGCCCCTTAAGAGATCTTTTTCGCATAGTTAATCAAACACGTCAATAACGAACCCCACAATACATTATTATTTTTTTAAGTAAAGGATTGAAAAGGGGGGGGGGTGTCAAAAAATAAAGTTGTCATGCTTGAAGAAAATTGAAATCGTGTACTGATCAAAATGTAAATACATACACAGGATGATAGCTTTATTTCTATTATTCTTAAAAAGGGAATAAATTGAAACCGAAAAATACAAATATACTGATAAATCCCGTAAAACAACTTCCCAGTTCAAAAAAGGTTCAAACTCTGAGGTGGGGTCAATATTAAACAGGGTCAGTTTTCAACTTGTTGAAATAAAATCAGGGATAAGAAATCAGGGAAAAGAAAAAAAGTATCAAGTTGTTGAAAAATGACCCCGGGTATAAATTCAACGACTTTTGGTCTCAATTTTCAACGGAGAAAAACGCCCTCGGTTCAAGATTCAATGTTTAAAAAATGAACCCCGGGTCAATGTTCAACTAGGGTAAATATTCAACGTTACACCGCCAATACATAATTTGCGGCCGCCAGAAATTTATCTGGTCCATCAGACACGTGACTGCTGTGACATCCCTTAAGTAAATATTGGGCTGCTAAAACACTGTTATCAATAAGATGAAGTTTATTAAATCTAGGTGGCTGCCAAAAATATTTCTGATTAAGGCATAATAAATCTAACTAACTCTTTATAAGCAACACAAAAAATTCCAAAATTGTGCCTATTGAACTTTATAATTTTAAATGCAAAAATAAAATTTTCATGAGAATATTTTTTTCGTAATTACGCGAAAATATAGTTCTCATGGAAAAAATTATTTACAATATAACCAAACCTTCCTGAAAACTCAACTATAAGTTTAAGTCATAACTAAATATATTGGTTATATATATGTATACACGTGTAAGACTCCAAAGTGCGATGTTCACGCCAAACCCCGATTGTCTGCACCAAATCCGAAGGTTTGATGTCGGTACAGACGCCAAAGTTTGATGGTCATTCCAAAATCAAATGGCTTGTTTCCTAAGAAACGCGCTGCGCAAAAGTGTGATGTCAAACACGACAGTGTCTGATGGAGTGGAGAAACAATCAACGATTATGACGTTATCGCATACAATTTGACTCACTTTGCTTATAGCGTGCATCAACCAGGGTTCTACATTAGAAGTAATCCTCGAACACCACTTGACTGATTAGGGTTGGTCCTTGCACACAATTGGACTGGTAATGAGATAACTTTGCACCAATCTGAGAGATTTAATTATTATTTATTTGTGTATGGTATATTTTTAAGACCTAGGGATAGGGCAGCATCGTAACAGGGCGCGGTAGTACTGTGACGTCACTAAAGTTTATCGTTTAATTCGCACCATCGGATTTTGGCGTGTCAAACTATCAGGGTTTGGTGCAAACCATCGGACTTTGGCGTGGCCATCGAAGTTAGAGGTTCTATCGTACTTTTGATTCCTACATACATTAAATATGTATACAAGTTATACCGAATACTTCTTTAAAACATATTGATTTGCACTTTGCAGATAAAGAAAAGTTTAAATATACATTTTATCCGTTATCTAATCTAAACTGAGTAAATTACGAGTCAGGGAGATGGCGAAATAAGTTTAATTTACTAACCTTCGGTTTTAAATATGCTTGAATATGGCACGGGATCAAGCTTCAACAGTATCAATCCCACACATGGTCAGCAATGCAGCCAAAGAAACACTTGAAAACAAGATGCCCTTTCAGGTGGTTTTTAGTTCGGTCCCATAAAAAATTCCAAAATTCTAAAAAATCTGAGATAAAGATTATTATCAACAGGAACAGCGAAAATAGATCAGGAAAACATTATGACCAACTACAAATCAAACTGCAAAAGAATGACAAAAAGGAAGGAACATGCACAAATTATATTATGTTTGGGTATACATGAATTTACATAAGAATGCATTATGAAATAAAAATACGAACAATAAACGCATTGTTAAGTACGGCAGAATTTATTGCACGGAAGTCTTGTCCTACCTCGAAATGAAAAGATGGTCGGTTTTTTGCTATATTCACCACCATTTGAAATCATTTTGTTAATTCTTTCCTCAAGTTCTTTAGTTGAGCTTTGAAGATCTATATTTTCTATTGGCATTGGATCTAAGGGTGCATCAACTTCAGATTTCTCAAAGGAATTTAATTTTTCTTTTAGAGTCTTTTCAACAGATAAAAATGCAATGACATCACTTCCTGTCAAAGCTTCTTTTGAAATACCACAACATTCTGACGCATTTTCTATAAAACATTGTAGTTGTTCCTTTTTCTTTCCTAGTCTGTTAAGAATATTTTGCAAACTTTCATTTGTTTCAAGAATCACATTTTTTTCAAATTCTCGAATATATTTAACCCCTCTTTCTGCTTCGGTCTTCAGATTTTCCCTGCCTTTTCTGTTACTGTCTGAAATTGATGCATATTCGTTTTGCACATTTTCCCATATCTTTTTTGCCCTTGTTATCTTTTCATGAGTTGCTTGGTAGCTTTTTCTCATATATTTCTTGGGTTTTTCATATTCTTCCTTGAGAGGCTTATAAGCATGATCACTGTGTGATTCTACAACGCAGTTGGCACAGACCGGTTTGCAACATGATATTGTGGAGCAAAAATACTTCAGCTCATTTTGTTCATGATTAGGAAGTAAGCATACATTTTGGGGTAAATTATCAGAAGATAGTTCTGGTGTCATTAAGGTAAGTCACTCGTCAGCTTTTTAGAAAAGTTACGCAAAAGCTTTTACTTAAAAACTACTTATTTAAATTCAATTTTTATAACATATTAAAATTCAACAATGTAATTTTTTTAAAATTCAATGAAAATGCTGCTAAAAAATCTACAAAGAAGCAAGATTTATGAGGGACTATTTCTTTTGGTGGAAGGATATTTAGCAGAAAATTCTGCAAATCTGCACATTTATAAAATTTAATGTAATGGAAATTTAGCCTCACATACTTTTACTCGGAGAATAGTTTCCGTTTTTGATATTGCTAAAAATATTTAATATAGGTCTTAATTTATATTTTTAGACTAAGTTTTACACCTTCCCTCAACAAACTTTTCCAAAAAATGAAAATATATTAAGGAAGTCAAGATCAAATTTACACCATTTTTGCCTGAAAATCAATATTTTGACAAATATTTCAAATTTAACATTACTGACCCCAGCTTTTTCTTTCATTATTTTAAATTACTCGGTACTTGTGACTGATCAGCGCTAAAGTCGTAAAAAGTTTGATATAAGAAAATATTTTATTGCCTATTTAGTTTTTTAATAACCCAAATATGTTCCTTTTTAGTTCAAAAAGTTCACACAATGATTAATCATTAATTTGCAAGATTTGTTAAATGATAAAAATTATTCAAACTATTCTACGTAAAATAAGACTGTAAATTTATTGCCATGGTAACATCTGATAAAATATAATAAGGAATAAAGTAATAAACCAAAGAGATAAAATTTAAGTGCAAAAATGTCAACTTCTTTGTACCATAGATCAGTAAGATGCACACTGACCTCCTATTTTCTCTGCTGATTTTGAGTTACACTTTATAAGTACTTATCCAAAATAAACTTCTCAAAAAATCCTTGATTTAACAAAATTTATATTACATCACAATATGACATACATTAACACAAGGAATTTTGAAAAGATGATTGACGTGCATAAAAAAAGGGAAAGGTCACTTAAATACATGACACAATGAAAGTTACACGTAGAACAAAAGTACTTATTGATCATGTCCATATGGAAAGTTACATGTGGACCAATGAACACTGTAAAAGTTCCCGATCTATTTGTTTTCCATCATTGCTTATCCGACCAATATATTTCACACCATGGGCGCCAACATATTCTTTATGAACTGGACAGACCCGCTGAACCTATCCCACATCCCATTAATTATGAAATTCCCAATGCCGTCAGTGCCTTCGCCTTTTAGGGACATGATTCTTTTCCCATATTCAAAAAAGTTGTATGGTAAAAGGATAATTGTTATTCTGTGTGTAATGTCCTTTCCATGTTCCAGATTTGGCTGAAATTGACTGAAAAAACAAACAAAATTTCAAGACATTATATTGTATAGGATCGAAACCAGTATAGATGTCAACGCGAGGAAATCTTGAGATACATTTATAGAAGAACACCCAGAAGTTTTTGGAACAGGCTACATTGCGGCAGTTACAATTTACTACTTTCAGTAATAGAGACATTTATTTGTCTTTATTGAGACTGTAATTGGACCCATGCAGCACCTCTGACATGTTAAATCAGTAGTCTACCGATTTCGCTTAAGGATTAACCCCTTAATAAAGGTTCGTAGGAAGCTTTGTATCTGCATTACCATATAGACAATGTATACTACTTTAATACAAGTGCTATTAATAATAATACACCAATGTAGGCAAACTTGCTTATCATGATTAAGCAAGCGGTACATTATTGTATGTTTGCTAAATACCTTACGACAGAGAAGATTCAAAGAGATTGAATAATTGATGAACGTCGACTGAATAATTGATAAATGTCGACTGAATGATTGATGAATGTCGACAGAATGATTGATGAAAAGTGACTGAATGATTGATGAACGTTCACTGAATTATTCTTGAAATGAGACTAAATGTCTTCTGAAATGTGACTGTAAGATTACTGAAAGTTGACTGAGAGATTACTGAAAGATCGCTTTATAGATGGGCGTTGCATCTTTTCGGATCATTCAGCTACCATTCCGTTTTCTAAAGTTGCAGTCATGTCCCTTGGTTACATTGTACATATCGAATTCACACTTCTTGTTATGTGAAGGAGATTTGTTTGTGTTAGTTATTTCTTAAATAGTGTACTAATTCATGAGTACATTTATTAGAAAAAGAAAACAAGGATCTGTCTAAAAATTATAATTTCTGAATCATAGTAATTAGTGATAGTAATAAAATCCCACATGCTTAAGCATTGCTCTTATTAATTCATTTCTTTTTTTTTGGAGAGAGAGAAAGAGAGAGAGAGTAAAACATACCATGTTGAACAAAACCAAACTGTGTTGATATCTATGTAAAAATGATAATTGTATTAGAATGGATTACAACACTTACAAAAATACGAAAATATGCAAACAGGTTACGATAGCTGATTAAAGTATCAATCATTGTTCGTAAATAAACAACAATATGAGAACATAATTTTACATGCATGGCAAAGGAAATATTATCATTTACGCTAAAGTTTGTTTCTTTTTTTTTTTTACTTTGTATCAACGTTAAAGTTTGTCTTCATTTTGATATGTACAATTATGTTTACAATTGCATTTAGTACAATATTTCAGCTGTTTTTTCCTCTTTCGAAGGCATTAAAATTATGTAAATTTATGTACAGTGCTTTGTACAGAGCGTACTCTACTGTTAACGTGGTTTAAAATGTTTCTAAATAATGCACAAAACGTAAATGTTTTAAATCAAGTCCATTAACATTCACTTTACATGCATCTTTTGATCGCTGAGACTCTGTGTCATCCTTTTTAGGCCACACCAGTTTAATTTCCTGATGTTCATTGGTACTAGTACGAGTGTGCGAGCTATCATGTACTAATAGTAATATCATTTCTTTTTGGTACAGGCAAAAAATTTAGACAGAGCATGAAAGAAATTTGGCGGACAATTATATCATTCTTTATACTACTTTTTTCATATTTCATAAAAATATGACAAATAGGGAGGGGAAAAAACAGAAACTAGCACAGAATTATTTTCCTTGTTGCGGGAAACTTAATACAATTTTACATGTATGTATTTGCCAATGTTAATTGTTTTTGAATGCATGTACGAGCGAACGGGTCCGGCGAGCAAAAAAATTAAATTGGTGTGGCCTTATCAAGAAATATAGCGAAACTTGCTTGTCAATTAATACTTTCCCACGTACCGCATTTGATTGAAATATTCTAAATTACTAATTACGTTTATATGGTTGGATATAGAAACAGAAATCCTTCCTCGATGAATCGCTTGGCAAAGAAAAAAAAATTAAAATTATGAAAAAAAATCTTGGAGAATTTGCGTTTCATAATGTAGATTTCTTTAGCTTTGCATCCTTTTAATTGACTTTGTGCCAAAATTATTGAGCTGCATAAATGTACATGTATATCATAAAAATTAATTTTTGTTAAAGAGCTTAACATGATGTCTTAAAACGAAAGTAAAAGATATTTTTACATATTAGACGTAAATAAATTTTTGACCACGAAAGCATCTCATGAAATAAGTACTAATTAAAAATTACAAGATAAATCGCATATATGACCAGATAATTTTAAAAGGTACACAACTAATTTAGTTTTACTTACATAAACACTGTGTATTCTATACTTGTGCAGAAGAAGTAAAAGATGTATAGCAGACAAATATTTGTGTATCCCAGATAAAATATCCGATACGTTACGATCAGTGCACCTACGACCGAATTGTAGAAATGAGGAAGATAAACTAATATTGATGATTAAATATAATATATTGAAAAAAATCAATTTGTTCAATTTTTATAATATATTCTCTCTCTCTCTCTCTCTCTCTCTCTCTAAAAAGTACACTGTAGATAATATTAAAAACACCATCGTCAGTCTCAAATTACATACCTATATTGAAACGGAAATTGTTTTTGTGATTTAGTTTCGTATAAAACGTTAGGCCTCCGTTTTCTTATAATTCTTAAATACTACAAAAATAAATTCTAACATTATTTAAGTAGTTTGAAACTGCCTCTGTACTGGGACTGCACTGAGGTAATATATGTTGTGTTACAGAATCTTAGGATACCTCTCTGGTGACAGGCTTGTTGAATCTGTCTTTTCTCTCAAACCTGTGATAAGACCTGAACATGTATAAGGCACACATCTGCAGGGGATAGGTTGTAAATGCTTACTTAATTAGCTAAAACGTTAGACCTGTATAAGGCAGTAGGCAGATAAAGAGAGAGATGGCATACCACAGAAGTGGGGGAAGTGCTAGGAAGCAGCAGTAATTATACAGAGTGGAATAGGGACCAGAGAAATTTATTGCGGGAGACACCCGTTAACCACAATCAAGAAGAAACTATTTATATTGTATAGAATTAATTGTATTATTATATTTGGTCAGCAAAAATCTGAGTTAAAAGGTGAACGAACCTGAGTGTAACGCCTGGTGATACAAGCCATATCACCAGATACACATACACAATTTCACTACGTAATGTTGTATAAAAACGTCAATAGATAAACATTTAACGCTATTGAAATTGTTTCATGTGATTTAAAAACATACTCAAAACAAAACAGACGTCAGTGCAAACTATAAATCAGTGTGCTGATAAAAAAAATAGCCATTTGAGTGGGAAAAAAGCCTTTTATGTTAAAAAAAAAACAAGTAAAACTAATGTGTTTAATAAGTATCAAAAATGATAGTTTATTAAATAGCTAAATATGAAAGCAACTACAATTAATGCATTTATAAATTTAACAAACCATGTTCTTAATATGGTTTTATGTAAAAATGCTTGCAAACTGCACAAAAGGTCATATACAATACAAAATGCAATGTGAGCTACACACATGGACCTCCAAAACACAGAAGCGCTTTGCACGGTTCCCTGAGTTACCCAAAGTGACCCCATAGACCCAAATAAATCCGGAGAAGTGAACAAAAATTCTCTGTAAGCGGTGCTCCAAAAAATCTTGGAAATGACATGTCTTGGATTTTGATGAAATTTTCACCGTCGGTGTGTCTTGATACAAAACTGGTAAATGTGGTGTCGGAAGTTCCACACGTGCACTTGGTTGCCATGGAGACGGATCCATTGAATTCGGCCATTTTTGGCCCATTTTGACTAAATGAAAACATGAAAATTGAGGAAATGTAAATGAATATTTATCGGTATCTAATACACTCAGACAAAAATCATTAGATCATATGATAACATGACATTTTAAGGTACACAGAGCATATGAATCGTTTATTCTAGAAATATTTCCTGTAATAAAAAGGTCATGCAAAATTACATGCTTTCTAAAAATTTGAAAAATGGGGAAATTGGAATTTTTTGAGATCTTTGAGGCTAAATAAGAAAAATTGTCCGTGGAAATTTCCCAAATCTTATATGTGTTATTATACTTGGGAATAAGTATTGTCATTTCATGAAAAAACATAAGTGGGCTTTTGCTCCTATTTTTAGTAACATGTATCTATAAATAGATATATTTTAGAAAAATGTGAAAAATCAAATTTTGGCAAAGTTTAAATTGTCATTAATGCATAATTAGAACGTATGTTGTAAAATTTGAAATTTAAATGACAAGAGCTGGACACCACTAGCTTGTATGGACAACGGTTGTGCGGAATTTCCATTTCTATTTTTAGTAACAGGTGGCTAAATATAGAGATGTCTCTGAATATTAGGAAAAATGGCATTTTTGTTCTAATTGGAAGCTTCATATAAAAAGTCCTAACAAATATAAAGCTTTCTACAATATGCTTTCAGAATGTACATGTGTTTGTTCAAAAATTGCTTCAATATTGAGGATGGACTCTTGTTTCATTAAATGGCAACAATTATCTAAATATAGATTACTCGAATAATTAAGAAAATGTAGATTATTGCACCTTTTCAGGCAATTTTTAGATGTAGTTGCTGCATAATTAGGAAATATTTTGTACAATTTTAGATGTAAATGACAGGATCTGGATACCACTAGCAGGTATGGCAAATTGATTAGGGGAATTCCCATTTCTATTTTTAGTATCAGGTGCCTAAATCTAGAGATGTCTCCGAATATTAGGAAAAATGGCATTTTTGTTCTAATAGGAAGCTTCATATAAAAAGTTTTAACAAATATAAAGCTTTCTATAATATGTTTACTGAATGTACATATGTTTGTACAATAATTTCCAAATATTGATTATGGACTCTTGTTTCATTTTATGGCAACAATGGTCTTAAAATAGATTACTCGAATAATTTGAGCAAAGAATTTGCACCCTTTCAGGCACATTTTTGTAGTTGCTGTAATTGGGAAAATTTTGTAAATTGTGCATATTAATGACAAGATCTTGAAAACCCTAGGTGGTATTTTGTTGAAGGGAATTCCCATTTCTATTTTTAGTATCTGGTGGCTAAAAATATGGACATGTCCTATATGTAGGAAAAATGGCATTTTTGTTCTAATTGGAAGCTTCATATAAAAAGTCCAGAAAATATAAAGCTTTCTAAATATGCTTTCAGAATGTACATGTGTTTGTACAATAATTGCCACAATATTATTTTTTGAACTCTTCTTTAATTTCATACCAACTTGGTTTAAATAGCATTTGGAATATTGAGAAAATAGATTATTGCACCTTTTCAAGCACATTTTAGATGTAATTGCTGCAAAATTAGAAAATTTTGTAAAATTTGAGATGTAATTAAGATGGACACCACTAGCTGGCCAGGTATAAATAATGGTTGAGGGGAATTCCCATTTCTATTTTTAGTATCAGGTGGCTAAATATAGAGATGTTGAATACTAGGAAAAATTGCATTTTTCCTAATTGGAATTAATAATAGTAAGATCATTCCTCATAATCTTCGCACAGAAATTCGGAGCGAATTCGAATATAATTTTTGACAAAGATTTCTCTTCATATGACACAATGTTACTGACATATTAACAGAGACCTCAGCCAATCAAATTATTAAAATTAAACTCCTCCCACGGCTTTGTCATATATTTAACTTGACCGCTCGTTGGACATACCTATAAACAATATGACACAGTTTCAGCTACTCCCAACCTATTCAGGTTAGCACAGAATTCCGTCAAATTTGCATCAGGTAATTAGCAACAATGTGTAATGGGCATTTTCCAGACATAACTTTTACTATCGATAAATTTCATTGAAAAATCCCCCCTTGCCACTTTTTAACAGTTATGAATATGAAGGTAATGTAGTTATATGTACGAGGTTAAATGGAACTTGGAAGAAATTGGTATTCAAAAAACGATGCTATGAAATGATTAACTGGGGAAATGGTATGGGGAAAATATTTAGCTACTGAACAAATGAATATCCTTGTAACAAGAATCTATATTTTTGAAAAATGATTTGTTTGACAAGACCCTATTCAGCAGGATTGGGTATCGCTTTAGGGTCAAATAAAAATGAAAATTGTGACTTAAATCTGTATTCGAAGACAAGGTTCATCTTTATATACATGACACTTGTATTTTCTTATATTACCGAAATGTGAAAAAAAATAATATTCAGAAAGGCGGCAAAAGATTACAGTGGAAAAAAATGTAGCAAGGCCTAGAATTTTTAAATATCATTGTAAACAGCACGTGGCTTTAAATAGTTTCTTTTGTGTGCTAAACAAAAACCAATGAAGACACACCCATTAACTGTCAACTGAACCAATCAGACACCGTTAAATATTGTCAGAAATAGAAGAATTCTTCACCATGAAGAATCGATTTTAAGCGAGAAATAGAAGCATTTGATTGGCTGAATAAGTAGGTTATGTTCTAAATATAAAAAGTCCTTACAAATATAAAGCTTTCGACAATATGCTTTGAGAATGCGCATGTTTGTACAATAATGCTACAATATTGAAACTTTTGCTTCATTTTATAGCAATAATGGTCTAAACATAGATTACTCGAATAATTGAGAAAATGTAGATTATTGCACCTTTTTAGGCACTTTTAGATGCCATTGCTGTTAATTAGAAAGATTGTTGTAAAATTTGAGATGTTAATGACAAAAGTGGACACCATTAGTCGGTGTGGACAATGGTGAGGAGATGTTCCCAATTCTACTTTTAGTATCAAATGGCGAAATATGGAAGCTTCATATAGGAAAAAATGGCAGTTTTTTGCTAATTTGACCTAGAAAATGTCTTAAAATAAAGCTTTCCTACAATATGCCTTCGAAATGAACACTTGTTTGTAAGGAATTGCTACAATATTTAGCACTTACAATTTTGATACCAACAATGAAAAAGATTCTTAGAATAATCGAGAAAATTTGGTTATCACAGAAAATACCCATCAGGCAATGTTGGAAAGAAAAATCAATGTTATACCGTTAACAAATTTTTCAGATAAATTTTTAGCAAATTTGCAGTTTATTGCATTCGCAAAAATATTTTTCTTAAAAATAAATTACAAATAAGAAAATGTAAACAAAGCATCCTTGCTTTTCGCAAAATTTTGATTAAGAATTAATAAGCACCATTTCAAACTGAATTCGCAAAATATTTTCGACGTAAAAATTTCCAGATTTAAGTAGACGTTGTGTGACTGACAAATAATTCCCTATTTAGTGAAATGCACACTTCTGAACGTGGGGCTCTCTTTTCTATTTATAGCACATCCACTTATATGTAGCAACTTCTCAGCACAAGAAGAAAAATGACAA